CTCTAATACCTTTTTGGGCTATACTACAAGGTCCTGTTAGAGTGGTATAGGCATCAAAACCTCATTTTAAGGACACCTATGTTTTGATCCACTATGGACTTGGTGGAAGCCATGGACAGCATTAGATCTTTTTTCTATGTCATCTGAATGCTTCATAAAGATGCCATCAGCAACCGTTTGAAGCGGGTAGGTATTGTCTCTCAGCAACCATCCCTGTAGGGCCAGAAGACCTTGAAAGGGCATAGTACATGTAAGTTCTCCAGTAATGAGTATAGCAGAACAGCTCCCAAGATATTTAGTATAGGCGTTTAAAATTAGACATGAATGGAATGGAATCTTTTCATTTGGTGAACTGTGCATGTTGGTGGTAGGGTGCTGTCAAACCATTATGGATGCTATTTATTGTGCCCTGCGCTGGGAATGGGAGGGTGGAGCCAGCGATGGTGGAAAATTACATTGCCCATGCTGTTTGATTCTCCTCATCCATGGGGATGGATAAAAGATAACGTAGTTTGAAGAAATTGGGCATCAGTAACATCCTGGATGTAGTTGTGGGCCAAGGATTGGGGGTCACAGATCACCGTTGCATAAGGTGCTGGTCTAAAAACTCAAGATTAATGTAACTTTGTTGGGCACCAGGATGTGATGCCCACCTATTCCTTCCTAGAGCAAGTCTGTTCCAACAAATAAAAGTGATAATGGCCTGGGACATATGGGCTTAGTGAGCATGTTGTTTTTGACGGTTCCTTCAATGCTGTCATCTGACATTAACCAAGATCACAAGGAGTTCTCCAAGCTCTGGTTCCTGAAGAATGAGCCGATAATCTTTGGGGAATGTTTGAAGTTGAACATTATTTAATAATGGTACTCCTGATCCCAACCATCAAAGATAGAGAATAGTCATATTCTTCATTAATAGTGACATGCTCTGCTCTCACACAGTGTGCTATGCAGGCTTTTATGGCCAATGTGGAGTTCTGAGCTATGTAATCTTATCCAGTTGTATGTTGCAGATCAAAAGTCCTAATGCTATGCTGGGTCTCTAAAAGTCAGGTATTTATTCACAGTAATCGCACTCCTCCCAAAATGTCCATCCTTGAACTTCATTCTCTCTACCACTGCATACTTATAGTTAGGTGTGAGAATGTGGCAGCTCCAAAACATTCTATTCTGGTGTCAGGCATGAAAAGTGATGCAGAAATTGCAAAGCCAGGTAAGACTATTAAATCTGTGTTTGCAAATCTTTGCGTATCTGACATGATATGGTCCAATTGATGCAAAGTATGAACAATCATGATTGCTTGAGGCCATAATTTTAATGTCATTTTTAACTAAAAGGATCACCTTTCAGTTAAGAGATAACAAGGTGTAGAGCTGGGTGAACACAGCAGGCCAAGCAGCATCAGAGGAGCAAGAAAGCTGACGTTTCAGGTCTGGATCCTTCTTCAGAAAAAAAATTAATCCAATTTTAAAGCAGATTTGTAGCATTACACAAGCAGTAGATGTATTGTTAATATAACTGACACTTGCAGGGCCTCACATACAAAAAAATATATTCCACCCCAAAGAAAATGCAGTAATTCATTCTGCTCACACTGTGTGAGGTGGTGACCATCTTCTCATTATTATACACTCAAGTTTGGTGTGAAGATAGTAAGTTTTCAACTTTGTGTCCTGGTCAACGAGTTTCTGGTTCCCCGACGAAGATGATGATACCCTTATCCTTCATGTTCCCTTTGGTGTTACTGTCCTTTGCACCATTGATGACCTTTCAGCCATTGTTATTTACCTCCATTGGGAGTGATTAGGTCTGATCAGAAATTCCCTTCCTGTAGCTTCCTTCCTCTTCTATGTTCTATGAAATCCTACCCTTCCATCTTGAATTGCCCCTTACATCATCATCATTCTTTCAGTGACCCAGACCAACGAACCCCAACACTAGAGTTGTGCTCTAAAATGAAACAAAGAACGGAGGGTGCTGGAAATCTGAAACAAAAACACAAAAATCTCTGGAGAAATTCAGCAAGTCTGGGAGTATTTGTGGAGAGAAAGCAGAGTTAATGTTTCCAGTTCAATGACCCTTCTTCTGAGTTGAGCTACCTATTTTTTTCCAGGTCTGCATGGAATAGCACCCTGACTATTCCCCAAACAGTTAACATACAAATCCTCAGAACTGACCATGGACAACCCCTAGAGTGACTTGAGAAGATAGCTCCAAAGAAGAAAAACCCAGATTGATGACTTTGAAGCACCCTGACTGACATAACTAAGACCCCAAACTAGTTGCACTAGACATGCAAGACTGACCTGAGTTAGACTGTAAGGATTCTAATTCCCAGACTATGATCAGACCTAACGCTTGACTGATCATGGCCAATCCCCCGGACTGAGATCAGACAAGACCTTTGACTGACTGTGGCACAGCCCCTAAACTGAGCATACTAAATGTTGACTACATGAGGAATTCCCCCTTTTAACTTTCGGACATAGCCATTTGCTTGAAACAAATGCAATGTGTTTGCTATGTTAGCTGCTGGCACATGCTGCAGGTGTGACATTGACATAGTCAGGTGTTACTAAGCAATTTGTCTATCCCTTGGCTGTTCAGTGCCCTGAACCATGACAAGCTCTCTGCCTCTCATCTGCAATAAGTAATAATGCAGGCCAGAAAGGCTGGCAGCCTCCAAGTAAGCACAAACTGGTAAAGTGGTAGGAAAAGCAAGTTGAGAGCTGTAAATGCAACCAAAATAATCTGGCAGAAGTGTATAAGTCATACGTATCCCTGAGCTCCAAAGCCATGATGTGGTGGTATTGGAGGTTGGCAATGAAAGGAGGATATAGAGTCTGTAGAGGATACAGGGAAATGACGGTGAGCTGGATGAAGGTGGGAGAAACAAATCTCAAGCTGCTCTGCCAGATAACCACTCTGACTCACATGTCGAGAACCAATACCATCTCGCCTCTCGTGAGGGGTAGGAGAATTGCGCAGGAATGAGATGAGATTAGATAATAATGCGATGTAAATCCGTAGAACTAAGATATTGGCCACATATTATGGAGATTCAGAACTCACTGTTTAAACCCTAAGGCACAAATTAGAATTGTTTTTCTTGAAGTCAGTAATTTGATTTGTCCATTCTTGTCATATTTCCCAACTTTGTTGTCAGAGTCCACATTGTCTGGATAAGGGAAACTCTGCCTATTATGTTTTTATGCAGTTGATTGAGAATAATATTAGCCAGGACACTGTTGCCAACTCCCCTGTTTTCCTTCATCAGTGTAAAATTTATTGCATCAATCTGAGAGGGCAGACACAGCCTCAGATTACTATCAAACCCACAAGACAACATGTCTAACAGTGCAGCAGACCCTCAGTACTGCACTCGAACATCAACCTTGATTTTTGTGTTTAAGTCCTAGAGTAGGACTTGAATCTACAACTTTATGACCCAGAGGGAAGAGAGCTACTAATTGAGCCACTGCTGTGAAATATAATGAGGAAAAAATCCCTGACAAATGTCATGCTATTTCATTCACATTATTGCAGTAGTGTTAACTCTATAATGCTATTACTGTCACACTTGAATTTTCCTATCTCTTTCAATGGATTAGTGATTCTCTCCCTCTAATGCCACTGTACATCCATCCTGGATAGCAGGTCTATGTTTTCCAAATGGTAAGGCAAGCCCCAACTTGGTTGAAGGAGTTAATACATGCAGATCTTTGAAAAGAAACTTTACTGTTTAAGTTTGGGCAAAGGGATAAATTCAACACTCCCTGAAAGTGAACCAAGGAATCATAATAAGAAATAGGAACAGGAGTAGGCTGTTCAATCTTTTGAGTTTGCTCTGCCAATGATAGGATCATAATTGATCCAAAATTCCTTGCATCTACTTTCCTTCCCTTTCCCCATAATCCTTAATTCCCTTCCTGATCAAGAATCTATCTATCTCAGCCTTAAATAAACACAAGGACTCTGCCCCACAGCTCTCTGTGACAATGAGTTCCAAAGACTCTCAACCCTATGAGGGAAGAAATTCCTCTCCATCTCAGTCTTAAACTGGCTCCTCCTTATTCTGAGGTCATGTCCTCTGGTCCTAGACTCTCCGATAAGGGGAAACATCCGCTCAGCATTATCCTGCCAGACCTCTCATTCTTCTAAACTTCAGTGAGTAGATTCCAAACTTGTTTAACCTTGCTAATAAAACCTCCATACCGAGGATCATCCTAGTGAACCTTCTCTGAACAGCGTTCAATAAAATTATATCTTTCCTAAGTAAGGGGACTAATAGTGCTCACAGTACTCCAGACATAGTCTCACCAGCACCTTATAGAGTTGCAGCAAGACTTCCCTACCCTCATACTCCAACTGTCTTGAAATAAGGGCTGACATTCCATTAGCCTTCCTAATTACCTGCTGCACCTGTGTGTTAATTTTCTGGGTTTCATGCACACGTGCCCTGAATACCTTTGTTTTGTAGCTTTCTGTAGTTTTTCTCCATTTAAACATCATCCAGGATGAAGGTTCTAAATTCATCCAGCACAACAAATACATGCTGATTGATCATGAGAATGATTACAGTAATTAGCCAGCAGTAACAGTCTTGTTGATTGGTACAGAGTTCAGCATAGAATTCAAAATTTCATAGCATGCTAACTTGCACTGCTGAAAATTGGCCTGCAATTCATTTTAGTGAGAAGCATTGTAGATGGAGCAGTTTAGAGGAAGTGTATTTTTTTAGGAAATGACATGAGAGAGTAATTAATACAGTGAACTTTTATTAAATAGAGGGATTTAATGATTACTCTTAAATACATGTGGACAACAAATTGAGAGATGCTGCATAATCCCCAGTCTGGAACTAGCCAGATGTATATCTATTTAATGCAGTAGTCAGCCATTGTGCTGTCTTCTCTTAACACGAGGTTGTAGTTATAGCTGTGGTTGCAGCTGGTTGCATATTTCAATGAAAATGTCCTTGTTGAAGCAATGATACCTCCCACATAACTGGCAGGGGAGATCCGTAATCCCAAAGACCATTGTCCCAGGACAAGGGTATCCCACTGCACTTCGGGTGTGCTGGTGCCTGCAATGTCCCCAAACACAGGATAATCGACTGCAAAATTTGTGATAGCGGAGGATTGCGTTCACACTCTCCCCTGAGAAAAAAATCCTCCTACAGTGGCCCTTGCTAAGGTTTAAGGAGAATAATTGTTCACTGAATGCTATCCAATTGAAAGCCTTAATTTTTCTCTTCCTATTTACTCTCCTCTCGGCTTGCTCTGTCACACAAGGTTCATTCTTCTAGTCATATTGTTTTCCAGGTGGAATGTGTTGAAGTTGCCCACTGCTGAAGTGAATTATTAGTTGAAACAGCAGTTTACACATTCAAAATCGTAGGCTTTTTTACTCACTGCAACCAGATACGATAATGAAGAGCCTCATAATGGTAGTAGAAAAGAGAAAACTTAGTGTTTAGTGAAGTGTAGAGGAGAAAGTCTGATCCCACCATAATCAGCTGCAAACTTACTACCCCATCCATCTACATTTTCATCTAAGTCACTTATATATATCACAAACAGCAGAGGTCCCAGTACAGATCCCTGTTGAACACCACTAGTCACGGACCTCCAGCCTGAGAAACAACCTTCTGCAAATACCCTCTGTCTTCTATGGGCAACCCAATTCTGAATCATGCGGCCAAGTCACCGTGGATCCCATGCATCTTAATCATCTGGATGAGCCAACCATGAAGGACCTTCTCAAAAGCCTTACTAAAATCCATGTAAGCAAAATCCACTGCTCTAGCCTCACCAATCACCTCCGCCACCTCCTCAAAAAATTCAACCAAGTTAGTAAGACATGACCTGCCCTGCACAAAGCCATGCTGACTGTCCCTAATTAGGTCACACTTTTCCAAATGTACATAATCTTATCCCTAAGAATTCTCTCCAAATCATCTCAACCACCAAAGTAAGATTCACAAGTCTATAGTTTCCTGGATTATCTGTATTTCCCTTCTTGAACAGAGGAACAACTTTAGCTACTCACCAGTCCTCCAGGACCTCTCCAGTGACTAGAGAGGGTACAAAGATCTTGGTTAAGACCCCAGCAAACTCCTCTCTTGCTTCTCTCAATAATCTGGGTCAGATACCATCAAACCCTGGGTACTTATCCTCCTTAATGCTCTTCATGAGATCCAATACCACTTCTTTCTTGATCTCAAAATGCCCTAGCATATTAACATTTTTCACACAAACCTCACTATCCTCCATATCCTTTTCCTGGGTAAATACCAATGCAAATTACTCATTTAGGATCTCACCCATATTCTCTGACTCCAAGCACAAGTTCTCTCCTTTATCTTTGAATGGTCCTATCTTCTCCCTCGTTATCCTCTTGTTTTTAATATATTTGTCGAATGCCTTGGGATTCTCTTTAACCCTACTTGCCAAGGTCATTTCATGGCCCCTCCTTGCTCTCCTAATTCCCTGCTTGAGTACTTTCCTGCTTTCTTTATATTCCTCATGGTCCCCATCCAATTTTAGCTTCCTAAACCTTACATATGCTTCTTTTTACTTTTTGACTAAGTTCACAATCTCCTTCGTTATCCAAGGTTCCCTTGTCTTGCCATCCTTGTCCTTCCTCCTTACTGGAACATGCAGGTCTTTAAAGAGTTCACATATGTCAAATGTGGATAGTTCCTCCTAATTAATACTCCCTAGCTCCTGCCTAACACTGACATAATTTGCCCTCCTCCAACTAAGTACTTTCCTGCAAGATCCTGACTTATCTTTGTTCATATCTATCCTAAAACTTAAGGAGTTGTGATCACCGTTACCAAAATGTTCTCCCACTGAAAGGTTAGTCACCTGGCCATTAGCCAATACAAGGTCCAGTATGGGCCCTCCTCTAGTTGCACTATCCACATATTATTTCAAAAACCCCTCTTGCATGCACTTCACAAATTCAACCCTGTCTAAGCCTCTTGCTCTAAGGGAATCCCAGTCAATGCTGGGGAAGTTAAAGTCACCCACTATGACAACTCTGTCTTTATTGCACCTTTCCATAATCTGCTTATATATTTGTTCCTCAATCTCTCGAGGGCTGTTGGGACGCCTATTGTATAACTCAATCACAGTGATTGCACCCATCTTATTTTTGAGCTCTACCTACAATTGCCTCAGTGCATGAGCCTTCCACATATCCTCTCTGAGTGCAGACGTAACATTCTCCCTGATTAGTATTACAACCTCACCATTTTTACCTTACTCTCTATCTCGTCTAAAACAACAAAACCCTGGAACGTTGAGCAGCCAGTCCTGTGCCGCTCTCAACCAAGTCTCTGTAATAGCCACAACACCATAGTCCCATGTATTGATCCAGGTTCTAAGTTCATCTGCCTTACCTTTAGTACTCCTTTCATTGAAATAAATACATTTCAGCCCATTAGTACCATCATGTTCATTTACGTATCTCTGCCTGTCCTTTCTTTCTGATTTACTGGTCCTAAAATCTACCTTCCCCTTAATCCCTCCACTTGCTGACATGCTGCTTTGGTTCCCAACCCCCTGCCACTCCAGTTTAAATCCTCCCAAGTAGCACTAGCAAACCCCCCTGCGAGAACATTGATTCACCTCCAGTTTAGGTACAACCTGCCCCTCTTGTACCGGTCACCCCTGCCCCAGAAAAGGTCCAAATGATCCAATAACCTGAAACTCTGCCCTCTGCACCAGCTCCTTAGCCACACACTCATCTGACCTACTCTTTCAAATGGTGTGGGAGCTACTGCCAAGGTCAGCAATGGTGCTCATCCATAATTGCCCTTACGGTTGTGGCAAACTGCCTATTTTAATTTCTACATCCATGTATTGTAGGCGCACTCGTAGTAGATTTAGGAGACAGTTACAGTTTTTTAAGCTAATGACAGTAAAACAACTTATCCAAGTCAGGATGGTGTGTAACTTGGAGGGGAACCTGCAGGCAGCAACACTCCCATGCATCTACTGCTCTTTTCCTACTGCTTGTAGAAGTTACTGATCTACAGGAAGCTTGGCTGATTGTTGCAGTACATCTAATTGGCAGTACACACAGCTGCCACTCTGTGCTGCTGATGGAGGAAAGAATGCTAAAGGACATGGATGGGATGCCTATTAGGTGGGCTGCTTTGTCCTGTATGTTGTTTGGAGCTGCAATCATCCAGACAGCTAACTGGCAAGTTGTTGATTATTCTTTCAAAGGGCTGGTGGGAAGTCCTTCTTGCTGCTTAATGTGCTTTCAGCCAAGGTTAGTAGATGGTGTTGGCTGTAGTGCTGTGATCCAAAATCATTGCATTCAGCTGTCATCTTTGTGTACTCAAGTGAATATTTGTGGAATTCATGAGCTAAAAGCACTCTCAAACTGGCATCCAATGTGATTTGCAATTGAATTATATAATGTCCCTCTTGGTTGCAACTTTGACATCAAAAGGACACCAACAAGAAAAAAACTGACTTTTATTTCCAATGTTTTCGGACCAAAACAATACTTGGACAATCCTTAAAAGTGTGCAAATAATTAACTAATTGGCCTTCAAACTGTGAAATTTCAAGGGAACCTGAAACGCTTGCCACCCAAATGGTAAGCCTATTCTCCCAGAAAACACAATACCATTTTGAGTGCTTCCAGAACCACAAGCCATGATCCTGGGTATTCAATAATTTCATCGCTACCTTCATTGATTTGAGACCATGTCACCTCTTTTCCCTTCCTCCCAACTATCAAACCTACTCTGGCTTGCAATTATATTGTGCTCTGACAGGCATTTTGGACTGTGACACTGTCAGAAGAGCACTCTTAATGAATATGAATGGAAAATAACAAAGCAGACAGAACAAGCTTTGAAGGAAGGCAATAATGAAGCATGAAAGAAACAATTAACAAAACAGACTTCTAATATTGAATGAAAATCAGAGTCAATTGTATATGCTTCAAAACAATATCCATATAAATACAAATTTTATATGGGTGTTAAACTGTTCATGAACTATAGTGCTTCTTCATTGTAGTATCTTTAGTTGCCCATTCTTAAAATTTCATTTCTATGAACATTCAATAGAAATTGCAAGCATGTTAATGACCTTTTAAAAGATTTTTCTCTTTGTTATAGAAACTGACAATTTTTCTTTACTAGGTCCAATTCCAAATCGTTCTGTTTCCCCAGATATATTATGTAAATTTTGTAATGTTAATATCGATGTTGATTATCAAAATCTCTGTGTCTATTATTACGTGACTTCAAAGCATGGCATAGACAGGATGAAACCCTCAATGTCAACCAAATCTATGTCAAGTTGACATAGTTACTGATCTGCCACTTAACACGTGCAGCCTTCATCAAAACATCAATAGGCTTGTAAAGGACCTTTTACAAGACTTGGTTTAAAACTTCATAAAGACTCAAATGTCATCAGATTTTTGAATGGACATGTCAAATATTAATTTTGATCTTTCTTTCTGCACCTTCTCTGTGGCTGTAGCACTATATTCTGCACTCTGTTCTGCTACCTGATATATTTTGTGTGGTACAATTTGCCCATATAGCACACAAAGCAATACTTTTCAGTGCATCTCGGTACATAGAGTTATAGGGTCATAGCGCTGTCTAGCACAGAAACAGACCCTTCGGTCCAACTCGTCCATGCTGACCAGATATCCTAAATTAATTCAGTTTCAATTGCCAGCATTTGACCCATATTGCTCAAAAACCTACCTATTCATTTACCCATCCAGATCCCTTTTAAATGTTGTAATTGTACCAGCCTCCAGCACTCCCTCTGGCAGTTCATTCTATTACACACAGCACCTTCTGTGTGAAAAAAATTGCCCCTTAGGTCCCTTTTAAATCTTTCCCCTCTTACCTTAAACCTATGTCCTCTGGTTTTGGAATTCCCTATGCTGGGGAAAAGACCTTGACTATTCACCCTGTGACAACAATAAATCAAACTCAAACTCAAACCCTAGCATTATATTGAGGTCAGAAAATTTAATTGGCAATAAACACTACATCAAGAAAATATACTATTAAAGATTATGGAAACTAAGAAGATGTTAACATACAGAAAACTCCTGCCTGCAAGGTGAATAAATACCATTAATATTTAATTATTTCCTTCAAGCTAAT